AACCTGGAGCTTTATACGGAGACATATCGAAGAAGACTTGTTTGATTTCTTCATCTAAAAAAGGTTGTGTCAAGGTTAGATTGTCTTCACTAGTAATACATGGTTGTGTCCAAGGAATGGAAATATTACGAGAGCATGTATGATCTGAGTTGAATCTATTTCAAAATTCCTTAAAAAATAAACGAGTAATATCTGTTGGGTCCTCAACCCATTGATCAAGTTCATTACATAGCCTGAAAATTTGAGTTTTTCTTTTTCTTATTTTCATTGTTTCGTGAAAAAATCTTGTATATCGATCACCTTGTGTTAACCAATTTTTTCTAGCATATTTACCCCAGTATTTTGGCCAAAAAGGAGTAGTTTTTCACGTTGTTTAATTAGACGATTTAGATGTTGTTCAATATGATGATTTCCGGGAAATTGTTGAAGTTGTAGTTCCACATTTTGTAATTTTTCTTGGTTAATAGTCAATTTATTTTTAATGTTCCCATACTTATGGAAATTCCAATGTTTTAAATCAATTTTTAGCCGTGATAATTTCTGCATAATATAGTAAAAACGAGATCCTGAATATTTTGTTTCCAATTCTTAATAGTCAAATTCTTGGCCTCAGGGTCCAATGTCCAAGCATTTTGGAAACGAAAAGAAGATAGCTGATGTGTACTAGAATTGTCCACATATAGGCAAATAGGGCTATGATCTGAACAAGAGAAATATTCGTAAGATAAAGTTGCATACGGGTAATTTTGTAACCACGAAGTACTTACTAAACATCTATCTAAACGTTCATAGATAATATGATTATTTATTTGTTTTTTCCATGAGAAGGCTATTCCTCTAGGAGGAATATCTATTGCATTATATAAGTGAGCAAAACGTTGTAATTTCAAACATCGATTTAAGGTAGGAAAAGTACCTCCTCTTTTATCAGCCATACATAATAATTCATTAAAATCTCCGATAATACACCAAGGGAAAGAACAATTATTACGAATTAGTGAGCTAAAATTGTTCCAAAATTCCAATTTTTCCCCTTCTTGAGCAGGGGCATAAAGACCAAAAAGAGAAAAGCATGTATTAGTCTTTTTATCTGTCACAAACAAATGTGCAATCCTGTTTTGAAAAGATACAATTTGAACATCAATGTGAGATTGATTCCAACAAATCCACATACCACCGCAATGGCCAATAGGATCTACAAATTTGACATTTTCATAGCCTAAAGTTTTAGACAATCGATTGCTAGTAGAAGGTGAGACCATTGTTTCAATTACAAATACACTTTTCTTATGTTTATTATATACAGAGTAGTCAATTTGTTGTTTATTGATATACTATGGCCATTCTAATCTAATGCATTTTAATTATCAAATTCATCAATAGTTAGGATGGATTTATGTATATTTCAAATGTATAGTACAATTTTGTATACTTTTTTTTTTAAAGAAAAAAAACTTGTAGGATAACTAATAGTGGGACAAATAATTTGTGTAAATTATCCTTTATTTTAAAATACTATTTACACCCCAATTAAATCGACTCTAATAATAAAACAGATAGTTAGGATTAAAAAATACAGTATAGTGGCTCATTAATTATCCTTCTTAATGAAAAAGAAATAACAAAGAATGAATAATGCAGCAACCAAGATGGGGACCAAACTAGAGGTCATATTATATTTAAGGAAGAAAAAATAAGACCAATCTCTCAATTATTACAGCTTTAATTTATAAAATTTCTTGGGAAATATCTGTATGAATTTATAGGATTTTTGTAAGACCATTCATAAAATTATATTAAGCAAAACTATAATATATTAGTATACATGCATATCACTTTCTGTGGTAGGACACGTAAAGATCTTTGTACGGTTGGTGTTCGATAAGTAGTACAAGTAAAACAAACGTAAAAGATTCACATAATCTTGAGCTAATTCCATGCCTAGCCAAGTAGCCAATGCATAAATATTGAATTTCATATTCATACAATTTTTCACAATTCGCCGCACCACATACAAAGTAGACTCTTATGTACTTGATAAAATTAACTACTGTACTTTTTAATTGATTTAATTCCTTATTCTAATTTAAGAGGCCTTCAATTGCACAATATTATATGGCCTGAATGACCAACACACATGTTACACACAGTCAAACATGCATCCAATAAGTGTTAAAAGCACGCTCAACTCAACCCGATTCGAAATTGATCCGAAAAATATTTAATTCAAATTTCGACTCACGTGGACAAAATAATTTAACATGACTCAAATATAAAAATCGATTCGACCCGACCTCACCGAATCCGATCCAAACATCCGAATTGACACCTTTTGTGAAAAAGAAAAAGATTAATTGCTTGTGAGTTGTTACGGTTATTAGGATTGTTCTTAGAGAAAAATTTAAGGTTTATTTAGGCTTCCCTTATATTATAGTAAATGAGATCGTTGGGTGATCTGTGATCATAAAGCTTAGCTTAAGTTAGCTTAACTTAAGCTTTTAAATTGTTAAGCCATTGGAAGACTACTTCTCGTCTATTAGACTCTTGTTTTCTCCAAAAGTGAAGAAAAACTCTCAAATTCCCCACATGTTGAGTAGCACTAGTTGACCGAACTACGTAAATCCTTACGTGTTTTTATTATCATCTTTATTGCTTTCTCAGCCCAAATTCATTCTTGTTGTATAAGTCAAATACATCAATTCATCATCGTCTACTTCACAGCAGTCCTCGTACATCTAACATACATTATTAAACAGTAAATTATATCTTTACTTCAATTATGCATAGAGTAAACGACAATAATGTAGATGAGATTATATTCAATTCAATCATTGATACATTGTGCATCATTCTCTAAAACTTTATCGGTAAGGTTAGTTAGTATCCCTCCCTAATATGTTATTGACTTATTATTAATGATTTACGTTTTAGGCGTTATGTTTGTGTTTTGTACTCATTAATTTCATAACCTTTTGTACTTCGAAAAATTAACTTCGTTATAATAATCTTTGTTTGGCAATTAGCAACTTTAATTGGAAGACCAACCTGTAAAGCTACAGAGAAGAGTTGATCAAAATCCGAATACAAAGCAAAAATAAAAAAAAAAAAGGTGAAGAAAGTGGAAGTAGTAGCAAATAGCCAAATAGTGTGTAAGTTAGGAATACAAAAAGAAAGACAAAAAAAAAAAAAAAATAACATAAAGCGATGATGAGTGGCACACGTAATTAGTTCCATAACATGTATCAAATCAAAAAGTAAAGCTAAATTCTCCATTAAACCCCAACCAATCACTTACTATACATTAATGATATCATAGCCCACCTTCGTCATTTTCATTTTCAACTGCTTCCACCAACCTGGTTTTCTAGTCAAATTTCTAACAGTATAAATTAATTTATGCATAAAAATTTATATACTCTGTACTAAATATACAATATGGTTGTTATTCAAAAACCATTGTATAATCTACATGACATAAACTAGCTAGTTAATTAAAAGTGCTCTAATTGAAGTCATGTTTCAAAAATAATGCTAATATTTATATACTCTGTACTAAATAATGCTCTATACGATTAATGACATAAGATAGATGTTATTAATAAAATTTTAGAAGTTATGACTTTGATTTGAAAAGATCGTCACACATCTAATTAATTATTTTATTTGACAATTAACCTGGACAGAAAAAGTAAAAAAATTATAATTGTATGTATTTTTATATAATTATGTCACTCAATTGAATTGTGTAACTATTGGAGGGTGCAATGAGAGTATCACACTATCTCATAGATATTTTAGTAAAAAATACATGAGATTCTCAAGAGTATAATGTCTCAGGCAAGCAAACATATTCCATTGGTTCTTTTAAGAATTAAGAGTCAATAAGTAGAGGTCATTATTCACTAAATCGTAAGCTAAGTTTGGCTTTTTTTACAAAACTAATTACATACAAGTAGGAAAGCTACCATGCGCGGTGCCACCAACAAGTATGCCTTGCAAGTTGCAACTTGGCACAGCTTGAAGATTGGTCGTAACTTGCAAGATATCCAAATTTTTAAATGTGTAAACATGTACGTGCATTTATTTGCAAATTGTAATATGATCAAAAGGAAGTAACTATTTATTATGAACATATATACGTCCTTATAAAGTTATCTTTCGACAATATATTGGGGGATATCGTCAACATGGTGCTTTATCTTACCTTCTAAAAATAAGAAGTATTACGTACAAATGTTTAATTGCCAAGGAATCTGACGAGGATATTAAACAATTTCAGCTTTGTAAATAGGAATATATGTTACACCCCAGTTAAATTTTATCATACATTTGCCTATTTGAAAGACTTGAATAACTCAATACCTTACCAATTAGAAAGCGTCTCACGCTAGTGTCTACTCCAACAAATAAAGAACCATAACAGAGTATTAATATTATTAGCATCTCTCATAAAACAACTCACACTTTATATATATATATATATATATATATATATATATATATATATATATATATATATATATATATATATTATGCATGCTATTTTATATCATTAAAAACATTATAATAACAACAAAATTCCAAAAACGCAAACCCCTAAGAAATTTCCCTAATCACGTCTTTTGTCTCTATCTTTGCTGATGAGAACTTGGTTACAATGGCACACTTCACACCATGTCAACATCTCTCACACATTGCTACATCTCATGACATTAACCTATATCTTTTCTTCAAACCAAAACTCATCATTTTTTATTTATTTATTTGGGAGGTGCTTTTTCAACCTTCTTAAACGGGCAAGATGATAAATTAATTATTGAAAGATTCATGAATCAAGTTGAAAGATTCATTAACAAAGACTATTATTAGAAGTAATACTTGTCTCTAACCGACATATTCTTATTTTATTTCTATTTGAAGTAAAACATTCACGTAACAGATTACCTAACCTCCTAAATAGAATTGGGCCGCATTTAGTTCAAGCCCAATAGTTCAAGCCCATTCAATACAACCAAGTCGGCCCAAGCCCAATAGTTTGTTGATTCTACTACGTACTTATTTGTCTGAGATTTTTCAAAATTTTCTCTACTCCCGCCATTAACGTTTTTCTTCTTCAAGTTAGAGAGAGAAAGAGAGAGGAGAGAGAATGGGAGATTTGAAGAAATGGTCGGTGACATACACAAAGCATGTGAAGCAGAAGAGAAAAGTTTATCAAGATGGAAGTCTTCATCTCCTTTCGAACAACAAGGTTTCGTCGTCTTCTTTCTGTTTTACGATCTCTCTAATTTTCCGATTCAAGTGATTTTTTTTTTCCCCATAATTTAATTTGATTTTCGGAGAAGAAATGCGCGTAATTTATCTAAATTTTGAATGATTACGATTATTCGATGTTTTTGGGTGCTGAAATTGCAACACCTAGATTGTTTCCCGCGCAAAATCGAAGAAATTAGGTTAGTTTTCCCCAATATTTGAAAAGTGTGTTCAAATTGACTTGATTTAGCTGATTAACTAGCTTCAAGACCATAATTAGCTTAATCTTCTGTGTCATATGGACTAAAAATCATGTAATTTGAAGTTACTGATGCATTATAATTGTTTTATTTTGATAGAATTAATTTGATTTCGGAGCGAAAAATGCGCATAAAAATTGTCAGAAATACGATCGATTTCGATTTTTTATTGTTTAGCGAAATCACAGAACCCTGAATCATTGGCGCGCAAATTTCAATTAGCTGATTTGGCTAATTATCCCTAAATTTTGATAAATTGGCATCAAATTGACTCGATTTAGCTGTAATCCACTAGGTTTTCGACTATTTTGGCTAATCTTCTCCTACATATTCTGGAAATTATGCAATTTGAAGTTACCAGATAGTAGTAGTTCGTACAATATTTAGTTATTCTATCAAATGTCCAATTGGTTTTTAGAGTATTTCCAAATTGATTTGGTTCTGAGCTGTTGCATTGTAGTCTGTTGGATTGTTGACTAATTTCAATTGCAAGCTACCAAGTACTAGTTAGTTTAGTAGCTGATTACTGTAATACCGCCATTAACTTTTAGTGTGGAATGTCTGTGGAACAAAACTTTTTTACTGGCATAATCATTAACAGGTGGTGCTGTATGATGAGGGTGAGCAGCTATTAGACAGTAAATTCTTGACGAAAGATGAAGCAGTGAAATCAGGGGAGTCATTAACATTTTCTTCATTTCTTGTTGATATTGGTGATCCTGAAAACAACTGCAATCCAATCTCCAATCCAAAGCCCAAATATGAACGTGATGTTAAGCCTCACGAGAGAACTCAAATGCCTCAAGGAGAGAAATTGAGACATACTTTTACTGGTTAGGACTTAGGAGGAAGTCCTGTCTTGTCTTTGGAATTTCAGCTTTACTAGACCTTATATGATTCTCATTTGCTATTGTTTCTATTTTCTAAGGTAGGAAGCCTAATACAGCAGGAAGAAAGAATACAACAGTATGCTTAAGTCCGTCTCAGAAGATTATCAGAGGTTTTCGCTGTTGCTTTTCATATCTTCCTAAGCTTGATACTTTGTTAAGTTGTTATATATATGCAATGTATCTTGGAAGTCATGTAAAATGGATAATTTTGAGAATGCTTTCATTAGCATAAGTGTGGGACAAGGAAGTGTTATGTTAAACTTCTGTTGCAATTTGACATTAATGTCCTTAACATATATTTAGAGCAAGTTATTGCTAACTTATGGCAGCACATTGCAGAGTTCAAGAAAAATGAAGTTCTCAAGTATGGTGCACACAGCCCAACAAGTCCAGTGACTCCATCTGCTAAAGGTTTGCATGTACATATGTAGCCACCTTATGATTTGTAATTTTTGGCATGGACGTGCTAACTTTAATTGTATGTTGATTTGTTAAGTACATAGTCTAAAATCTAAATACTTAAGCTTTTCTGAAACTATAGTTCTATATTTAGTAGCTTTGCTGATACAGCGTAGCAGACAGACAAGTGCACCTTTTCCCTCAGCAATCTTGTATTTCCCAAATTCTGTTGAAATGCTGAGCACAAACTGGGACTTCGCGCATTCCTTAGTCTCTCTTAAGCTGATGCATTTCCCCTCTTTCCTCCAGCTAAAATCTTTATCTTGCATTGCAGAGTGGGAGGCATTGTATACAACGCAACTTACACAAAAGGCCAAGAAATATCATGATGGCTTCATACGCATGATCATTTGTGGTTCACAGGGGAGGCAGGTTCTATTATATTCCATTTCTGTACTATCTTACTACAATGGATTTGAATTGCTGCAAACACACTAGTGACTAAAGCTTGATGAAATCGAGTAGATGAAGAAAGCATGTGTAGAAATATTGTTAAAATTTATGTTCTAGTGCAACATTGTGGTCTGAAGTACACTTTCACACTTTCCGTGAGCCATACTACTTTCTCTTATGGTCAGTGGAATATTCATTGTTATGTGAGTAGTACACTGATATAGAATTATAGACATTACAACACCACAACCACCACCTAATGTGGCTTGGTTTAGGAGAGCAACTTGTATGCATTCTTACCGCTAATCAGTAAGCTGCTATTCCTATACATAAGCCTTCGGATCTGTGGATCTTGAGTGGAATAGTTTAGAAGAGCTTTAGAGCAATGTGCTATGTAAAATTAACAAATTTAATGATTCCAATCTATGTCACTCCAGTTTTATGAATATTCATTTCTTCAACCTGTCTTGACTCTGATCCTTCTATTGAGAATGAACCTGTTGCTGGTGACAGTGATCTTCCTTTCCATCCACAAAAAATATTTCCCCCCTGCATTATTTTAATTGATTTTTGGTGGGTTTCACTTGGGTAGGCTGAATCAATTTTTCTGTTTTGCTATGTTAATCCTTGTCTCTTTGCTGTTTACATAGACCTCTTTCTAACCTCCTTTCAGATTATGCTGTATGACTGCAGCAAAAATCAAATAGATCACAGATTTTTGAATAAAGATGAAGTTATCAATTCTGGTGGATCATTGACATTTGATGCTCATTTGGTTGATATTGGAGATCCTGTGGGGACCAGCGGAGATGACGCAGATGTGAAGATAAAAGGAAGAAACAGCATTTCTACTGAAAAATCAGAGATACTTTCTGGCCGCCAATGGCAAAAGCCGTTTAGTGGTATCTGGCCTATCTGCATTCACAGTTGGACCCTTCTGCCAAATGATTTATATAAACCAATTATACGTGATATAGAAACATTTTTAGCTAAACTTTCAGGCTGCTATAGTATTGCATTCAATTTGACCATGCCAGAGCAATTGGCTGAATTGGTTATCTCTTCTGATAGCAGATTTTTCGGCTTCAAAAGCAAAAAGAAGCAAAGAATCTACACTGATGGATCAAGTTGGTTCTGGCGATTCCGTTGGGATAGGTCTGTTGGCGGTTACTTTCTATAAAATTATGCATTAGTAGTAGAAATTATTTTCGAAATTCTAGCCTTGTTTTCTTTGTGGCATGTGCTAAGATATAATGCTGGTATATTTTATTTATGCTCATTGATTTTCTCACCAAATTAGAGATTATCAACCTTCCAGTATGCATATCTTTGTTGTGAACTTCGTTTGCTGATGAATAAGTTATGTGACATCTATGCTTGTTTGCAAGCTTATATTGTTTACTCAATCACCACTGGCAGGGAAACCTCGAAATATCAAACATGTTAACTCTAGTGCAAGAAGAATTGGATTTGATGAGATTAAACAGAAGAACACTGCTTCTCACCCGCCTATACGTGATGGTATGTAGGCTCTACCTCTCTGCACATTGTAGTCAATCTTTAACCTTCTCCTCTTAACACATCTTGCTTTGAGAGAAAAAAAATGGGGAATTAAGTTATGGAATTTTGTTGCTGTATTTGATTTTAAACCTCTATAAAGTAAAATGCCTTAAAGAGGTGCTCTGCTTTGGCCTTTGACTTATATATTTTTGTTTTCTTTCTATATAGTCCCCGGATTTTTTTTAATGGAAAAGAGTGAAAATTATTGATATTTGAGCCTGTGGTTTCGTAGCGTATGGGATTTGGTCTGGGTCTATGCTCATTCCCGAGCATGAACTTGTGGCTGTCAGTCTACAATGCATGTAGACTAGTTGGAAACTGGTTGAACAGCATTTTTAGCCTGTTATAGAAACATCACCTGATCTATTTCAAGAGCAGTGACTTTATGATTCATTATAGCTCTCAAGCACTAGCGGTCTAGCAGTTAAAACAGTTTTTGATTCGTTCTTTCTTCTGCAGCCAATCAAATCTTATCAATTATGAGGAAACCTATGACTCAGGAAACCCTTTCCACTGTCAACGATGCTCCTGTGCTGGTTCAGTTACATGATGACAGTCAGCCAAGTCAGACATTTGACAATTCCCTTCCAGTTGATCGGTGTCAAGTGATAGAGGCAGACCAGGCAGTGGAGAAGCATAACAATGAGAAGGCTGCAGCTGGAGGAGACAGTAGCACATTTTCTGAAGGCAATTGTAGTAACCTTGAAAGGCCAGATTCCACAGAAGGGACTGAAATAATAAGATCCAATGCATATGAATCTCCTCGCAAGAACAAATCTGCTGCTGAATCAAGCGTTGTTGATGAAAGACCAGCTGTCCTACAATCTTCTAAAGGCAAGTAGCCTATCTAGCATGCAATAGACGGCTTATGATATCATCAGCACTATATCACCTTACTTAAAATCTGACTAAACTTCTTCAGGAACAAGCTTCATAGACGGTCATTCATCTGTGGTTAGTGAAACTACAACCTATCAGGTTTGCCAACTACTCAGGATTCCTCAGCTTTTCTAAAATTTCAAGTCTAATTTACATGCTTACTGATAGAACAATGTATACTACAAGAGGGGGGGGGTGAATTGTAGTGTATGTAGACTATGGTAAATTTTGCGGAATTAAATCTACTACTAAGAGAAAAGACACTGAGATAGGCAATGAATAAATTCACTATGTAAAAATGATTTACAATCACTAATACGTTGCCTAGACTCAAGTTCCGTGAGGAACTCAAGTTACCCAACTGTGATCCCTCAATCACAGTTTCTCACACTTTGTGATTCTACTCCGAATCACTTGTACAATGTAAACAACTCTCTCAAGTCTCACACGTTACAACTCTCACAACCCAAACCCAATTACACAATGATTACAAGTATTTCCTAAAGAAGTTAAGAGACTAAGGATGGAAGAAACTTCTCTTTTAAACACTTTGAAACTCTATGCTCAGAATACTTAAGATAGTTTTTCTACACTTTCAAAAATCCACGTTGATTTATTTTTATAAAGAGAATATTCAAGCTTCCATCAAATTCCCACTTCCCCCTTAATCCCACGTTCTCTTTGACTAAGAAGTTGGGATGTAGGCAGAGGAAATTTAGGAACATGATTTCCTTAGCTTGACTCCCAAGTTCAACGTTCTCCTTAATACTAGGAGCCAGTATTTACCGAGTCAAAAAAATCAGTTATTCAAAAAGATAATTATTTAATAAAAAAGATAATTATTTATTTATTAATTAAAAGATAAATAATTAATTAATTTAAAACTTATCTTTTTAAATTAATGAATTATTTATTTATTTATAAAATCTTTTTAAATCTTTTTCAAAACTGATTTTTATCACTTCCTTAAATTAAGGGTTTTGAAAACCGTTTTAAAACTTTCGTTTAAAACTTTCTGAGTCATTCGTCAAGTTCCTTCAGGAACTTCAGGTTCCTTCAGGAACTTCGAGTTTCTTCTTAATTCCTTCCAACACTTTTGTTTCTTAAGTTCGTACACTGAGTAACTAAAAATATAGAGTTGTGAGGACATCTTGAAAGCTTGCATTCATCATCAAATCTTCCAAACTTTGTTGTTCCTACTCCGAAACATATTACTTCAAACCTGAATCTTCTGTATTAACCAAGACTCATAAACGTCGTTAGTCAAAGTTTGTTTTATGTAAGTCAATCATCAAAATATAAGGTGGTCAATTCAACAATATTCCCCCTTTTTGATGATGACAAACAAAAACAAACTCGGTTAAACAAAATAAACACCCGGGCAATTATCGTAACCATTAACAAAGCAAACTAATTAAATAAACAAAACGGTAAAATAAACTAAGTAGTAAGAAGTCTGCATCATTCATGAAATTAATAAATTATGAAATTTATACCTTTACTTAAATGATGAAGACTTGAAGGGAATCGGTTTGAGTCCGGCTTTCTGAGTTTGTTCTTCTCTTCCCCCTTTTGACATTATCAAAATGATAGAAAGAGCATGCTATATATAGTACTAAACTACGGAGGGAGTAGTAAATCTGAATTCATGAACGATTAAGCATGCTCACACAGTTCGTATGCAACCAGAATGAGAATATCAAATTCAAAGACAAACTTAGCCAGTTTAACACAAACCGAGTCAAAACAAAACGAAATGTGTAAAACAACCAAAAAATCCAAAATAAACTAAAGAAAACTAAACAATAAGAACATTGTTCATAAATCACAAGAAACAGTGGGGTAGGTGTGTTTGGCAAAGGCTAGGAAATGGTAGTAGCTTCATGGTAAGGGAACATCCTTGATCGCATCAAGAATGGTATTGTAACAACTTTGCTTCACCTTAGCTTTGAATTCCTGAGTCGAGGAGTCCATATGAGCGTTTACTTTATCTTCCAGAGAAAGCATTTGAGTTTGCAGCCCCTCAACTTTAGTAGCCAGGTTATCCACTTTAGAAGAAAGGTTAGTTATACTCTGTGTAAGTGTAGTGGACAAAAGCTTAAGTTCCTCCTGGATTTGCAAGAAACTTGGACCAGAGCTAAAAGCACTGAAGCCGAGACCAGAAGTACGAGGCTGTGAAGCAGGTGGAGAAGGTGTGGTTTGGTGAGCAGGGGATGGAATTGGAGGTGGTGATGGAGTTTCTTCTGGAACAGATGAGGAGGGACCCTGAGGAACTTGGATGGAAGTTTCTTCAGAAACTTTGGTTGAATCATCATCCAACTCAACAATAACAGGCTCAGATTGCAGGGTTCTGGGTTTAGATGTAGCAAGTCTGATACTTCTCCTTCTTCTTCCTGTTACAGGGGTGTGTTTGACAGAGCCCCCAATTTCCTGAAGCAACTCTTTCATTAATTTCTCTTGATCATCCTCTTCCTCCTTCTCACTCTCACTCTCTTTTTCTATTATATCACTCTCACTCTCTTTTTCTATTGTATCTTTCTCTTTTTCTTTTTCTCCTGCTTCCTCTGATTCACCTTCTGTTTTCTCTCCTTTGCTACTCTTCTTTTCTACTGCCCCATCACTCTTGTCTTCTTCGACCTCTTTGTCACTATCTTTTTCTGTTTCTTTCTCACCAATTTCTTCTGTATTTTTCTCACTATCTTTCTCTTTCTTTTCTCCTTCCCCCTCACTGTGTTCCCCCTCAGACTCACTTTGCACATCAGATGCAAAACAAACATTCCCATTCACCACTTTTAAATTCAGCTTTAACAATGATTTTTCTTGAAGGATGTGTTCAGGCTTGAGAATGTAATTCTCGATGAATGATGGTTAAGAGTTTAGTGGGGTAAGGTAAAGGATTTTGTGATTTACTTACAATGATTAAGATAAAATAAGAATTAAAGATAAAGATAAAAAAATAAGATAAAATCTAATTGAGAAAATAAAAAAATCTTTTTGTTGTTTTGAAATTTATAAGATAAAATTAATAAAAAGATAAAAATTGAAAGATAAAGAAAATTAAAAATTACGAAAGAAAAAAAATTCCAATAAGTTACTTCAAAGTAAAATACTGGTTGACATGTACAGAGCTTTACAAAAAGGAACTTGGAAAATAATATGGCTTAATTTGTCTTCTGCATCAACATAATCATATGATCACATACTTATTAGAATTACACACTCTTTCATTGCAAGATTCGAGATTATATTTTTCACACCAAGGTTATATATAACAATTCTCAGTCGTTTCACTAAGACATACCTTGGGGTTCCAAGAAGAACTGCTCAATTCAGCCTTATCATTCCGAGTTCCAATCGCATCTTTTCGAATTTTTCTCTACTCAAAGGCTTTGTTAGAATGTCAGCAATTTGATATTCAGTTTGTACAAATTCTAATTTAATAGAGCCTTTTTCCACATTGTCTTTTAGAAAATGATGCCTAACATGAATATGCTTTACACGTGAATGATGTACTGGATCTTTTGATATGCAAATAGCACTTGTATTATCACAGTATATTGGAACACATTCAAGAACTATGCCAAAATCACGTAATTGTTGTTTTATCCACAACAGTTGTGAGCAACATGCAGCAGCTGCTACGTATTCTGCTTTTGTTGTGGATAGAGCAACTGTATTCTGTTTCTTGGAACTCCAAGAAACTAAACAAGATCCTAGGAATTGGACCATACCTGATGTACTTTTTCTATTCACCAAATCCCCAGCATAGTCGGCATCGGCAAATCCAATAAGATCATATGTGTCACTTCTTGGGTAGAATAAACTCAAGTCGTCAGTTCCTTTGAGATATCTCAGTATTCTCTTGACGGCTGTTAGATGCGATTCTTTGGGGTTTGATTGGAACCTGATTTCTTTTGAATTTATTAAGTTCCTCTTGCATGGCTATAATCCAGTCAGGGTCTTCTAAGGCTTCTTTATGGTTGCGAGGTTCCAAAGTAGATAGAAAAGCATTGAAGGCACAGAAGTTCCTCATTTGCGATCTAGTCTGAGTTCCTTTGCATAAGTCACTAATAATTTTGTCCAGTGGGTGTGACTTTTGGTGCTTCCAAGGTTTGGGCTGGAAGGTTTGGATAGTAACTCGACTATTCTTATTTTCTGAGCCAGTTGCTTCTTCTTCAGTGATTTCCTCTTGTGTTATTGGTTCCTCGGCAGGTTCTTCAATCTGAGGCTGTTCTGTCGAAGGAACTTCAGTCAGTATGTCGAGTTCCTTCTCCGGATTTTCATGATTTTCATTTACTCGAGTTGGCTGCTTATTTGGAATTATTACATCTTCTTGTTCTTGAGAACGTACTAGACCAATTTCAAAGTCATAGTTCTCATGTTCCTGTGTACATGGAAGTGGATTAGTTTCATCAAATATAACATGCACACTTTCCTCAACACACATAGTACGTTTATTGTAAACTCTATACGCTTTACTGTTAGTAGCATATCCAAGAAATACGGCTTCATCACTCCTTTCATCGAATTTCCCTATGTTTCTTTTACCATTATTATGTACAAAACATTTACAACCGAATGCTCTAAGATGAGATATGTTCGGATTTCTGCCTTTCATCAGTTCATAGGGTGTCTTATTTAATATAGGCCTTAGCATGACACGATTTATAATATAACAGGCTGTATTCACGGCTTCTGCCCAGAAGTTCCTTGGAAGATCGCTGGCTATTAACATGGTTCGAGCCATGTCTCCTAAGGTTCTGTTCTTCCTTTCCACAACTCCATTTTGCTAAGGAGTTCTTGGAGTTGAGAAATTATGACTTAAGCCTTGTTCCCTGCATAAATCATCAAATTTAAAATTCTCAAATTCAGTGCCATGATCGGATCTAAGGTGTATCAGTTGATGACCTGTGGACTTTTGAATTCTCCTTGAAAATGTAACAAACTCGTCAAAAGTCTCATCCTTACTAGACATAAAAATAACCCATGTAAATCTAGAATAATCATCAACAATTACTAAGACGTACTTCTTTCCACTTCTACTTTGAATTCTCATAGGACCACATAAATCCATATGAATTAACTCTAAGGGTTTTGTGGAACTCACCATCTTCTTGGATTTAAAGGATGTCCTGACCTGCTTTCCTTTCACACAAGCGTCAGAAATTTTGTCATGTAGGAACTTGATTGAAGGAAGTCCCTCTACCAAGTTCCTTGTTCTTAACTTATCAATCAAAGAGAAACTTGCATGACCAAAACGTTTATGCCACAGTAAAGGATCATCCTCAATGACACTGAGGCAAGTTAAGTTATTCCTCGGAACTGTATTGAGATCCACTGTATAAGTGTTTCCTTTCCGAGTTCCTTCCAGCAAAACTTTCCCAGTGTCATTCTGAATGATGCTACATTTTTCAGAATCAAAACTTACAGAGTTTCCTTTATCACAAAATTGTGATATGGTTAATAAGCTGTGTTTGAGGCCCTCGACTAAAAAAACATTATCAATAGCTTGGGAACTTGACCTTCCAACTTTTCCTACGGCAACAATGCTGCCTTTCTTGTTATCACCAAAGGTCACTGTTCCTCCTGTATAGGCCGTCAGTGAGAGAAATCTTGATTTATCTCCTGTCATGTGCTTGGAACAACCACTATCGAGGTACCATTGGTTGTTCCCCCTCACTACGATCTGCAAAAGAAACTAAGGGTTAGATTCAGGAACCCCATCTTTCATGGGTTCCTTTGTTGATACAGCAAACTCATTTTTCTTTTGCCATACATAAGCTATATTTTTAGTGGACTTAAGTTCCTTTCTTTTGCAATCAGTATCTTTGTGTCCTGACTTGCCACAGAAGGAACACACAGTCTCACTAGGGAGTTCCACGTATTTTTTCTTTTTACCACTATTCTTCTTTTTGTGGTTGAAACCCAAACCCTCTGTCCTTCTGGTTTGAGCTTCAGATATCCACTTTGGAACTCCCATGTGGATTGCACTTTTGTTGTTTCTAGCTCTTTCTAAATCCTTTTCAAGGGATTCATTTTTGTCTTTAGTAACCTGCAATTCTTTTTTCAAATTTTCAAGATCATCATTAAAGGTTACTAAAGGCAATTGAAGAACATTATTAGAATCAATGTTAGTGCATAACAATTTATACTGAGTCAAATCAATATTTAACATGATATTTTCATTTTTGACTCTTTCCAATGTTTCCTTTAGCATAGAGTTTCTATCTAGCAAATCAAAGAATCTTCCCTGAACATCTGTTCTTGAACTATTCAAATATTTCATATGATCCTTATAGATTTCTAGAGCTTTTTCATTTTGTCCAAGTTTAAGACATATTTCTTTATATTCATCCAAAGTTTCTATGAGCAAAGAAATTAATTTGTCTTTTGACAGAGATTTCAGAAATTTAGGTTCGAGATTTACCTCCTCTGACTTTTTAGCAGACTCACTATGTTTAGCCATCAAACACAGGTTTGCCGTCTCTTCTTCCGTGGATTCTTCTTCATCCTCGGAACTTGTGTCTCCCCACGCAGCTATCATGGCTTTCCTGTAATCAGATTTTGAAAAGTTTGGAGTATTAGATTTTCCGTGTTCCTTCATTTTGCCTTTTCCTTTTTCTGATTCCCAGAGAGGGCATTCCTTGATGAAGTGATCTGTGTTCCCACATTTGTGGCATCCTCCAGTTTCCTTGGAATATTGGTTTTTCTCGAAGTTCCTTTTCTTTTGGTCACCAAACCTTTTGTTGCGGTACAACTTTTTTAGCTTCCTGACTAGCATGGCAGCTTCTTCCTCTCCAGATTCGGAATCCTCTTCACTTGGTTGGACAACCTTTAGAGCAATTCCTCGGCTCTTTGAACTTTCTTGGCTTTTGTTTGATAGGTGAAGCTCATGAGTTATTAAGGAACCTGCAAGTTGTTCAAGGTTGAAAGTTGTAAAGTCCTTTTATTCCTGCAAAGCTGCCACTTTGGATCTCCACCGTTCATCTTCAGGAAGACTCCTTAGAATTTTGCGTCCCTGTTCATCCATAGGAATAACTCTACCAAGAGAAACTAATTCATTAGTAATATTTTTAAAACGAGTAAACATTTCTTGAATAGTTTCTTTTGAACCCATTTCAAAACGTTCATATTTAGAAAGCAGTATATCAATTTTAGAACGTTTAACTTCATGAGTTCCTTCGTGGGTTATTTCTAGTAAATCCCATATTTCTTTTGTTGTTTTACATACCATAACACGAGTGTGTTCATCTGGCCCTAAACCTCAAACTAGGAGTTTTTTAGCAGTAGCATTAATCTCTTTCTTCTCAAAGTCGCTTCTATCGTATTCAGAAATAGGTTTAGGAATTACCTCGTTTTCTGCATTGGTCTTTGTTACCTCGTAATCTCCTACCTCGATAGCTCGCCAGACTTGATAAATCTCGGACTGTATGAACATCTCCATCCTCGTCTTCCAATAGGCGTAGTACTTCCCATTGAAGAGTGGAGGTCTTTGTGTAGAATAACCTTCAGCTAGTCTCTCGTCCTTCGACATTGTTCCTCCAGGAACTTGACTCGACAGGGCTTCCTGCTTTTCCGAGTTCCTTGCTCTGATACCAATTGATAGAACAATGTATGCTACAAGAGGGGGGGTGAATTGTAGTGTATGTAGACTATGGTAAATTTTGCGGAATTAAATCTACTACTAAGAGAAAAGACACTGAGATAGGCAATGAATAAATTCACTATGTAAAAATGATTTACAATCACTAATACGTTGCCTAGACTCAAGTTCCGTGAGGAACTCAAGTTACCCAACTGTGATCCCTCAATCACAGTTTCTCACACTTTGTGATTCTACTCCGAATCACTTGTACAATGTAAACAACTCTCTCAAGTCTCACACGTTACAACTCTCACAACCCAAACCCAATTACACAATGATTACAAGTATTTCCTAAAGAAGTTAAGAGACTAAGGATGGAAGAAACTTCTCTTTTAAACACTTTGAAACTCTATGCTCAGAATACTTAAGATTGTTTTTCCACACTTTCAAAAATCCACGTTGATTTATTTTTATAAAGAGAATATTCAAGCTTCCATCAAATTCCCACTTCCCCCTTAATCCCACGTTCTCTTTGACTGAGAAGTTGGGATGTAGGCAGAGGAAATTTAGGAACATGATTTCCTTAGCTTGACTCCCAAGTTCAACGTTCTCCTTAATACTAGGAGCCAGTATTTACCGAGTCAAAAAAATCAGTTATTCAAAAAGATAATTATTTATTTATTAATTAAAAGATAAATAATTAATTAATTTAAAACTTATCTTTTTAAATTAATGAATTATTTATTTATTTATAAAATCTTTTTAAATCTTTTTCAAAACTGATTTTTATCACTTCCTTAAATTAAGGGTTTTGAAAACCGTTTTAAAACTTTCGTTTAAAACTTTCTGAGTCATTCGTCAAGTTCCTTCAGGAACTTCAGGAACTTCGAGTTTCTTCTTAATTCCTTCCAACACTTTTGTTTCTTAAGTTCGTACACTGAGTAACTAAGAATATAGAGTTGTGAGGACATCTTGAAAGCTTGCATTCATCATCAAGTCTTCCAAACTTTGTTGTTCCTACTCCGAAACATATTACTTCAAACCTGAATCTTCTGTATTAACCAAGACTCATAAACGTCGTTAGTCAAAGTTTGTTTTATGTAAGTCAATCATCAAAATCTAAGGTGGTCAATTCAACACTTACCTATTTTATGTTCTTGTGTAGCCTTCTACAAAATTGTTGAAGACAGACCCAGAAAGTAAGGAACAAACAGCTTCCACCAGAGACATGTCAAAATGGTTTGGTAATCTGGTTGGCACGAAGAAAACGAAAGCTGTGAACACTGAAAAGTCAAATATAGCATTGGACTGCCCAAGTTTCGATTTGGGAATTTAACGCGAGTTTGCAATGAGTTATTATAGCTGGTCTTGCGTAACTTACCATTTTTTAGCTATTCACTTTACTAATGTTTATGATTTAACATCAAAGCGAAGGTGTTGAGAAAGGTTGTTCAATTTCGGATATCCGATCCGATTCGAAAATTCGGATATCCAAAATTTTGGATATCCGGATTTTCAGATTGAATAATCAGATTTTCGAATTAAATCACCGGATTTTAGAAAACCCGAATTTTTTTTGGATATCCAATTCGAAATATCCGAAATCTTAAAACCGGATCAGATATCTGAAATTTTAGGTCGGATATTTGGATAAGATATTTCGGAACATCCCTTGAGATTACAGTTGGTTTCCAAAAAACAAAAATAAAGCAAGAAAAAGAAAGTATAGTTAGTAAAGGAAAAGTATTTGACTTGCAGTACGCAAAACCTGGGTTTCAAACCATCTCCAGATTATATACCAATGCATTATTTAAGAAAATTCCTCAACTCTAAAATACGCGGTATCTTGTTTTTCATTAAGCATTTATATCCAGTTATTCTTTGATCTAGCAAGCAAGCTTGGGCAATTTTACACCCAATGATAGGCATGGATGGTTAAACAAAAACAAATATCGACAAAAATACTAGATTACTAGGTATCTTCAGATTAAATCTTGGCAACACAATTGAAAAGAGATAAATCACAAAACATTTGAAAGAGCAAAGAGATCTTAAGAAAGTAGACAACAAAAAGGTTAAATGCCAATTTTAATTGTTACTGCATGAGACCTTTCAATGCAATGCTAAAATCAAAATTAAAATCACTTCGGCCAGCATGTGAGCATATGCACCTTCTCAGGCTCAATTAATCCTGTCTACAGGAAGTAGTAGGTGGTGCATTAAAACATCTTTGCATCAATTGCTGCAATGGATATAGAATTGTTTAAAGCTAATCCACTACACGATCCTCTCGAGTTCCCTAGCATAACTGAGAGTTTGGTTGATAAGTAGCAGAGATGGAATCTCCTTGCATGGTGCAGATTCTTTTGCCTTCTGGAAATAAACACATCCATCTTTGATCTCCCAGTCAGGATGTTCCTGAAAGCGACATGTAGATTTTTGGTTAGAAAGAGTTGTACTTCCTCTGTTTTTTTTTACTTGACCTGTTTTTTTTATCAAGCTTGCCAATGAAAACTTTAACGATTAATAACTTTAATTCTCCATAAGTAAAAATTATAAAAGTTATATATAATGATAGTACTTATTGAGACGAATTCAAAAAATCCTACATGAATATGTTTTTCCTTATATATTATTCACAAAAGACGGTCAAAGGAGGAGTGATGAATAGTGTAAAAGTCAAAACGAGTCAAGTAAAAAAGAACGGAGGAAGTATTTACTCAAACAGATAAATGGAAGTGCAAAATAGGACAGCACAAAATTAGGAAGAGCATTCAAGTGGATAGAATTCATACTAACAATTTAACATTCAGCAAATAGGAGAATCATGCAAGAGCAAATTAGAATCTGCAGCATTCAAATGGCTAAAGTTTTCAATCTATGTAGCAGACACTATCACAGCCAATCTTTTCATGGAACACGGCTTACATACAATAGTTTCCCCTTACAAAAGTTGCTGGTTCAAGTTCTTCAAACATTTGGTTTGTGTAATAGTGGCAGAAATCACGCATCAGCTCTGATCTTATCCAGTCCTTCTCAATCTATTGAGCTTCTTAAAGGGGGAATAACAAATCATCTGTCCCCAGCAACCACCCCCCCACCCCCCGGGGCCGAAAATAAGTAGATGGAAAAACAGTCAACCACAAGTCTGTTATGCTTACCTCGTTGATATACTCGAGCAAATCCTTGTCAGAAGAAAATAGCAACAATTGTTTAGTATCATTCAATGAAAGAGAATCATATGCCTTTTCACTGCATCCAGCAATTTCATCTCTGCATTTACAGAGAATGCATTAATACCAAGAAGCATAGCAAGGACATAGAATGCCACCCCATACAAGAATAAAATAGAGGCAAAGTTACAAATTTACAATCACACAGTGTCATACAAGCGGAAATACCTCACAGTTTTGGCCAACAAATCCATGAAGTGCACGTAAGTTTCATGAGGTACAGACTGCCTAGCACTTAAAACACGGTTGTATGCTCCTTCCATGAAGGACTGCTCCAGCTCTACAGCATGTTTAATACAAGGATTATCCAAGGCGGTAGATGAAAGCAACTCCAATTCAGTGTGAAACTCTGCTATTCTGTTTTGGACAAGAAGCCTTAACAGGTTCAGACCCAAGATTGGGTACTCCTGTGGAGATTGTGGTATATGACCCCTGACCCAAAAAAAAAAAAGAAAATAAGTCAGCACTTGTCTGTAAATGTTCAAGAAAAAATTATTAAATTGGTACAAAAGAATTTGTGAAACAAAAGAAATGACTTTAGATTCTATTTTGTGACCTTAGAGGAATTTTAGAAATACCAATTAACTTAACCCACTATATCAGAACCCAGTTGCATAAATATGACTTGTTAAAGGATGATCAACTCAATTGGTGTTCCCCCCCCCCCCCCCCACAAGTTTTAACAAGTAATTTAATTCCTAAATAACTCCTTTTCAGGTTTGCTTTTGAAGGTGGGTAGACTCCCTTGTTAAGTCATTCAATGAGTTATTCTCCCTGGATAGAGCGATAGACCATTTGGATAAAAAGACTTCAGGAGCAATGAAAATTATTCAAAAAGAAATATTCTCTTGGGGTTGTAAGACTGTTGCAATACCACTAAGTAGGGTGACAAATTCCATTGCAGACTTGCTAAAATAAGCAGTCACAAATTTCACAGTATATGGCAAGCAAGTTGACTCAAGGCGGCCTGAATTTCCTAGCCTACAATATTATCTTTGCCTTATAGAAAAAACACACATCAAGTGTGACCAGACAGTGCCAAGTTGTTGGCCAAAAAGAACCAGATAAGTGACAAGCCAACCCATGTTAGCATGGAAAAAAATCGCGGTCGCGGTCGCGTTTGCGACTTTGCGGTAACGGACACGTTGTCACGGAAGCGGCTTGTAACGGTCAAATAGAACGGATCGCGGATTTCACGGCGTGATTTTTTTTCAAAACCTTCACATAAGTCATTTTTAAGCTTTTAAATTCAAATTTTTTTTTTTTTTAATTTATACAATATTATTGCCAAAACTACTTTAAATACAGCCCAATATATGAGATATGGCATTGATAAATTATTTTAACATTATTTGAGCTTTACTTTTTGCTACACTCAAATAAAATAAGAGCTACAGTGAGCATAAGATAGTACTCCAAACAGATTTTAATGAAAGAAAAGGCTAACCCTTCAAACTGCAAATAAAAATAAAAGAAAAAGAAAGAAAGAATTGAGAGAAGGCCACGTGATAACAAAAGTTATAAGGTAGAAAAGAGGATACAAGCAAGGAAGCTAGCTGCCAGCCGCATCAGGGAGGAGAGAGAAAATAAGACCTACAAATAGCCATCACCGGGAACGAAATTTGGCCGGAGTGTAAACTGCTTTCAGCTCGCCTAATTCCCACGACTTGAAGCCCCAATATTTTTCTTCCTTTTATAGCTAGTCTAGTTGATAACTTACAGATCTAGGGTTTTATTTTCGAACCTATGTCGAATCTGTTATTTCCCCCCTTTAACCTATCTTCTTCTTTTGGCTTTCTGTTCTTCGCAAACAGTGAAGATGGATTTTCTACATTCAATGGCCGCTACAATTATAGAACGGTTATATAACCCCGTTCTACCATTACGTAACAGCCGTTGGGGCGAGTTAGGTGTGATTTTCAATGCGCCGCTATATAACGGCTTTTCGCGGAACGGTAAGTCCCAAACCCGTTACAAAGCGGCCGTTATAGAACGGAACGGGTGAGTTTTAATTCCATGCATGTTACCGCAAAAAGTAGTTGTGCACTTTTTGCACCTCAACTTAAGGGGTGGAGTTGCACTCCCCCCCCCCCGGTACATCAAACAAGTATTGTAAACTCTCTTAGGTTTCAACAGCTACCAAGTACCAACTTCTCAAACAAAGGCCTCAAATATTTACATTATGCTACTGAATATGAATTGCTACCTCTTCCACTTTCCCTAACTTTATTTTTTTATCAGGTAAGACAGCATGACAAAGAAGATAATGGTTTCCGTATATTTTCCTTCCCTCTTTATTTGTATATTGCAGGTGAAATTTTATGGTTTACAAGGATTTCTTTGGAGCCTCAATAATTTGGCACAAAGTCAGAATTTGAAACCACAATCCGGTGTACAGATACACACAAGTACACAACTATGTAAAAAGATTTATATCTTTGCTGACAATCAAAGAATTGGAAGACCAAATAGGAGGGTTAATCCTAAGTGTCAAAGCACAAGGGAGGTTCCCATGTAAACCCAATTCAAAGACTAGAGGTTTTCATTACTTGCATATCTAGGGTATACCTAACACTAGCACTTGAAGAAATCTTGCCTTGCAGACAGATGACAATTTACCTGGCATCAGTGTAGTAAGGTTTCAGTTGGCAGAAATCCCTTTCAAATGCTTCCTGATCCTCCATCTTGACACTTAAAACAACAGCATGCTCATAGATATCCCCTGAAGATTATCAAACAATCAAGAAAAAAATGTAAATGACCAAAAGATCAAATATAAAGAGAGAATAAGATGAGAATACTTTATATGTCGCAACATTGAAGGTGAAAGATGAACACAATAAGGACAAGAGAGTTACTTGCTAAGCTCAATTCATGAATAGCATTTGGTGTTGCTTCAAACAATGGAGGAAGGCTTCGGAATTCTGTCAGTGATACCTGCAACACACAAGTAAATTTGTCACAAACCAAATACACAAACTAAGTCAATCATGCCAATCACGCAGCTAATCTTATTTGATGAAGAAAGGACTACCACAAATGACCTACATGATCATCAATCGTATTTCAAGAACACTATGAAACATATGCTCTTCTAAATAACTGCACATTCCTCAATTTTTAGTCTTAAAGGAGCATGCCACAATGGTTAAGGAACAAAGTCAACATTCACAGTTAATAAAAAATCTAGGCAGCGGAAACATGCTTTAAAGTAGTTTGCTAACAATATATGGAACTTGAGATTCCCCCATAACTTGATTGAAATATCTCTTATGCTCTTCCTTTCCTTTAAAAATACCATGCAGTGATGTAGGTACTCGAGGATTTGAAAATTAAGAGATCTAGACCAAAAGATAAGGTTCTCTTAAATTTTAGTGCTGCCTTTTTTCCATCTAATATTAACTATAAAAAGACTACCCACCTCCTCTATCCAGCTGTGTGTGATAGCCTAGAGCATTCAACCTACACTAAAGATCAAATTTCTAATGTATTACTCGGTATATGCAAAATTGACACAAGAAAAATACATATGTTTACACTTTGTTTGAATAAGAAGGAATTGAGAGAAAGAGAGGGAAGGGAATTTGGATGAGGGGTTGGAGAAATCCATATTTCTCTTTGCTTTTAATTAAAACTATCCCTCCAAAATTGGAGAGATTTGGAGTGAAATGAAAATGGAGTTTTTGTTTCTCCCTCTCTTTCTTTCTCCTCCCTATCCTTCTCTCTCACTCTCCTTCATTTCCCTTCTATTTTGCTATCAATCAAGTAACTAATGTTATTGAGTAGAAAGGACTACCGCTTGATCACCACGTTCAGCAATCCATACTTTGTAAATACTATCAACATAAGCAATATAATAAAAACTACTCATAAAGTTCCTCTCTATTAGTCATTAAGAAGCATGCCATAATATTGATGGAATAACTCCAACATCCCAGGCAACAGCACCTCACATAAAAGAAAGAATTAAACTAGACTAAGAATTAGGGTTCTCTTAAATTCCATAATGTATTCTTTATCTCATCCACAATCGAATCTAAAAAATGCACGGTCCAACTTCTTTTTCTTGTTTTGCATGTTATTCTCGAGCCTCCAATCGGCAGAGAAGAAGTGAAAAGAGGCAAATCAATTCAATACACTTCGCTTAAATCTATATCAACCTATAATTTATAATTCCTTCATCTACCATCAGTATTCGACATCAATTATTTCAACAAACACTAAAAATTCAATTTCCAGTCTTCGATCCTAAATACAAAATGAAAGCTTCCTATCATCACAAATCGAGATAATCGGCGCTCGAATTCAACATTGCAACTAATTTTAATCAATAAACCATCACTTACAGCAAAATTAACCCGAAATCTACCAATAATGCCGCATTTAAACATAATAAAACCCTAAAAACACGATAAAATGGAGCAAACAAGTAGCAAATTGAACAAAACTTCCACAAAATCTCGTGAATTAAATAAAACATAGTAACTGAATGAATTCACAAAACAATGAAGGAAATTAAGGATCTAGGGTTTAAATTGGAGAGGAAATAAACCTTAAGCTGAGAAAGGAGGCGAGTGGAAGTGTCGAAATCATTGCGAACAGAAGCAGCTTTGAAACGCTCGAAGGTCTGGGCAATCTCAGTGAGTTTGGGATCCATTGTTACTGAATTTGCAAATTTCTCTCTCCTCTTTTCTGAGTTTCGCTCTTTCTTCAATTTCTGAAACTCAGTTCTTCCTTTCTTTACCAACAAGCCACTTATTTTGCTGTACTTTAGCTCTTTGGGTTATTTATACCAAAGCTACTCCCTTTGTTACTTTGTTAGAATAATTAATACAGCTTGACTTTTTAAATTATTCGTGTATTAACTTTGACCGTAAACTGTGTCAATTATTTGAAACAAAGCAATTACTGAACGAGAGTAAAAACGAAAATGTGAAAAATTTTATTTTAAAATGAAATTCTACATGTGATAATGCAAACTATGTTAAGAGGTAACTATGATATTGTATATTTTATGATGATGGAGATGGAAGAGAGCAAAAGAGCAATTAGAGAATGTCGGTTTTTCTTCTTACCCTACCAGTTCACAAGATAGTGAACTTATTTATAGGCAAATATTGCCCATAAAGTATGTTACATAATTGTACTTATATACAAATTATTGTCCTAAATATAGCTCATGTGATGAGCTATAAGCTATTGTGCTCCAAACTCATGTGAACTTCATTTGACATTTTCTTAACACTCCTCCTTGAAGTTCGCATGAAATGGAGTATGGGTTGCTTCAAAGAAAAATATTATATGCTTTGATATACTGCCTCGTTAAAAACCTTGTCAGGAAAAACCCAGTGGGATAAAAACCTGATCGAAGGGAAAAAGAGTGCAGTGCATATAATACTCCTCCTGATTTCAGCATAGATCACGAAGATGTCGCATTCCAATTTTGTGAACCAATTGCTCAAATTTCTTGGAAGGAAGTGATTTGGTGAAAAGGTCGGCAAGATTTTCACAAGACTGAATTTGCTGGATATTTATTTCCTCGTCCTTTTGCAGATCATGTGTGAAGAACAGTTTTGGGGCAATATGTTTCGTTTTATCTCCCTTAATATATCCTTCAGTTACTTGAGCGATACATGTTGTATTGTCTTCAAAGATGATGGTTGGGTCTTCTGTTATTGCGTTCATTCCACACTCCTTTTGGATATTACTGATCATCGACCTCAGCCACACACATTCCCGTCCTGCTTCATAGAGGGCTATCAACTCTGCATGATTTGATGATGTCGCGGTCAATGTCTGCTTTGTTGATTTCCATGATATTGCAGTGCCGCCATAAGTGAATACATATCCATTTTGTGACTTGGCATTTTGAGGATCTGATAAGTATCCAGCATCTGCATACCCAATGAGAGCAGCATCTTGTTTTGGTTGGTAATATAAACCAAGGTCTTGTGTCCCTCGTAGGTACCGGAGTAAGTGTCGAACTCCCTTCCAATGCCTATATGTTGGTGCATTGTTGTGCCTGGCTAACAAATTCACAGAGAAAGCTATGTCGGGTCTAGTATTGTTAGCTAAGTACATTAAGGCTCCAATTGCACTTAAGTACGGTACTTCTGGACCCAGAATCTCTTCATTTTCTTCTCGGGGTCTGAATGGATCATTTTTCATATTCAAAGAACGAACAACCATTGGGAAGTTGGTTGGGGTTGCTTTGTCCGTGAAGAAACATTTCAAAACTCTTTCTGTATAGTTTGATTGATGGACAAAAATGCCATGACTCAAGTGCTCAATTTGTAGTCCAAGGCAAAATTTAGTTTTCCCAAGGTCTTTCATCTCAAATTCTTTCATCAAGTATTTTGCAGTTTTCTCGAGTTCATTTGGGGTTTCGATGATATTTAAATCATCAACATAAACTGCAATGATAGCAAATCCTGATTGTGATCGCTTTATGAAAACACAGGGACTAACTTGGTTGTTTTTGAATCCTTCTCTCATAAGGTATTCACTCAGACGGTTGTACCACATCCTTCCAGATTGTTTCAATCCATAAAGTGACCTTTTTAGTTTTATGGAAGGCAGTTGTCTAGGCTTGTGGTTTTCTGGTAGTTTTAGTCCTTCGGGGACTTTCATGTAAATGTTCGTATCGAGTGACCCATACAAATACGCAGTCACTACATCCATTAATCGCATTTGCAGTCCTTTTGTGACTGTCAAACTTACCAGAAATCTTAATGTAGTTGCATCAACCACTGGAGAATATGTTTCTTCATAATCAATCCCTGGAATTTGAGAAAATCCTTGGGCTACAAGTCTTGCCTTGTATCTAACTATCTCATTTATCTCATTACGTTTTCTCACAAATACCCATTTGTAGCCAACGGGTTTTACACCTGCTGGTGTAAGAGTTATTTTTCCGAATACTTCTCGTTTTTCAAGTGACTTCAACTCAGCCAGCATTGCCTCCTTCCACTTTGGCCAATCACTCCTGTGTCGGCATTCTTCCACTGTCCTTGGTTCAACATCATTTTCATCGGACACAATGTCGATTGCAATGGAATTTGCAAATATTTCATCCACGATAACATCTTTCCTATTCCAATGAGTCTTGGTAGAGACGTAATTCATTGAAATTTCATTGTTATCGACGTTTTGAACGTCTTGTTCATTTCCCGTAGGGTTGTTTTCTTGTTCGTCCCCTTTTGGATTATCATCATTTTCTTTACTTTCATCCACATTTGGTCTTTCTTGACCTTCTGACGGGGGAACATTATTAGTCTCATTTTCTATTCCATCCAATCTTTTCAATTTTCTTGGCTTAGAATCTTTTAAACCAAGTGGTCTTCCACGCTTTCTGCGTGCCTGAGATTCATTTTCTATGGCCTTATTACCAGTTGGGATTTCAATACGTGCAGGGGCATTTTCTGCTGGTATATGTGATTTTGTCACCTTCTTTGTGTCTACAAATGCATCAGGCAATTGATTTGCAACACTTTGTAAATGAACAATTTTCTTAACTTCTTGTTCACACATATTTGTTCGTGGGTCTAACATCAACAATTGTGTTGCATTCCAAATAAGTTCTATTTCTTTCTTGTGTGGGTCCACTTGCTCTCCCCCTAAGGCTGGGAATATTGTTTCATTAAAGTGACAGTCGGCAAATCTAGCCGTAAATAAGTCACCAGTCAATGGTTCAAGATATTTAATTATAGATGGGGATTCAAACCCGACATAAATTCTCAGCCTTCTTTGTGGACCCATTTTTGTTCGTTGGGGTGGAGCAATAGGAACATATACAGCACAACCAAAGATTTTTAGATGTGAGATACTTGGTTCTCTACCACAAACAAGTTGTAGTGGTGAGAATTTATGATAAGTTGTAGGTCTCAATCTAATTAGTGCTGTTGCATGTATTATAGCATGTCCCCAAGCAGATGATGGCAATTTTGATCTCATTAATAATGGTCTTGCAATCAATTGTAATCTCTTAATTAGTGATTCAGCTAGACCATTTTGTGTATGGACATGAGCTACTGGATGTTCAACATCAATTCCAATTGACATACAATAATCATTAAATGTTTGGGATGTAAATTCCCCAGCATTATCGAGCCTTATTTTCTTTATTGTATGATCTGGGAATTGTGCTCTTAATTTGATAATTTGGGCAAGTAATTTTGCAAAAACAACATTTCTGCTTGAAAGCAGACTGACATGTGACCATCGTGTGGAAGCATCAATTAAAACCATAAAATATCGAAATGGTCCACATGCCGGATTGATTGGCCCGCAAATATCTCCCTGAATTCTTTCCAAGAATTTTGGAGATTCAATAGCAATTTTGTTCATGGATGGTCTTATTATTAATTTGCCAAGTGAACTTGCAGAGCATGTTAATTCATCCGATCGAGGAATTTTGGCATTCCTTATTGTATGTCCAATTGAATTCGCTATTATTCTTTGCATCATCCCAGTTGCTGGATGTCCCAAACGATCATGTCATAAAATAATCAAATGTTTGTCATCTAACTTCTGGTTAGATATCATATTGATTTCCACGGGTCGTATGTTTATACGGTATAACCCCGAAGAGTATGCTGGCAATTTCTCATAAATGTGTTTCTTGCCATATTTTCCTGCCGTAAGGCATAAATACTCCTTTTGACCCGTTGTCATTGTTTCTAAATGATAGCCATTTTGGCGCACATCTTTGAAACTTATGAGATTTCTTCGAGATTTACTCGAGTATAAAGCATTATTGATCATCAATTTTGTTCCATTTGGAAGCATTATACAAGCCTTTCCAGATCCTTCAATTAATTTTGCTGACCCGGAGATAGTGTTTACATTTGCCTGAAACAACTTTAGTTGTGAAAAATATTTCCTATCCTTTAAGATAGTGTGTGTTGTTCCACTGTCCAAAAGGCAATGATATTCGGAACCAACTTCGGGTATATCCATATCTTCATAAAATAAATATGAGATTAGTTTAGAATAATATCATACAAACTTTTATTTATGATAGAAATTAAGAGTACATGACTAATCATTTAAAATACATATCAGAAAATTCATTAAAACGTAGTATATATTACATCAGTAGATGGGTTAATTAAGCATTGTTATTTTCTCCAAAGATGAAATCATTCCCAGTTTCAGCATTGTCCATGAAGAAATCGGACACATCAAGGGTAGGACATGGAGCATTTTCTTCATTAACATAATTTGCTTCTGCATTTTTCTCTTTGCCTTTTACAGAAGCCTGGTAAAGGTCTACCAAATGTTTGGCCGTACGACAAGTACGTCCCCAATGGACTGTCATGCCACATCTGTAACATGTGTCTTTTCCTTTTGAAAGAGTTTGTTTGTGGCTTCCTGATGACTGTCCCTTCTGTTTTTCAAAATTTTTGAAATTACTGTTTCTTTGAAAATTGTTTCTACCACGTCCTCGGCCTCGTCTGCGATAATTTCCACGGCCTTTTCCACGGCCATTGTAATTTCCACGTCCACCTCTTCGTGCAGCATTTGCCTCGAGTGGATAAGAACTTGTTGCATTTGCCTCATGATGAGTGGCCAAAGACCCAGTTGGTTTGAGATTATGATTTTTCAACAAAAGATCGCTATTTTGTTCCGCAACAAGCAATACACTCATTAATTCATTAAACTTCTTAAAACCTCTTTCACGATATTGTTCTTGCAACAGTATGTTGCTTACATGAAAGGTAGTGAGTGTTTTTTCAATCATTTGTTCATCGGTGACTGGATGATCACAATATCTCAATATAGATACTATCTCATGTATGGTTGAATTGTAATCTATTACAGATTTGAAATCCTGGAACCGTAAATTTGTCCAGTCAAATAATGCCTTAGGAAGGAGCACCCTTTTGTGGTGTCCAAATCTTTCATTAAGGCAGTCCCATAATTCTTTGGGATCTTCAACCATCATGTACTCAGTTTTAAGGCCTTCATGTAAATGATGCCTTAGTAACACTAAGGCTTTTGCCTTTTCTTATTCGGTAATGGGTTTTTCAACCGTCATTGCAGAAGTGGTAGTATCAGTTGTTTGACCAGGGGGACTTTTATTAACAGTATGCTCCAACCCTTGAGCTTTTAAATTCATCATGGCATCCACTTTCCATTCCAAAAATTTCTTTCCAGATAAATCTAGAATGCTGAATTGTCTTTTCACAAGATCTCCCATTTTAACTACAACAAATTACGTGATAATTAGTTTATAATCATACGTATATCACATGTATTTAAGTCTTCCATATTTTTAGTTTGTTAATGAAACACATGATAATTAAATTTTTTTTTAACAATAATAAGACATAAATAAAATAGTTCTTTCTCCCCCTTGGTTTATTATTGTGAGTAATTATATAACTATGCAAAAAAAATCATATTAGTCGTATAAACAGCAAAACGACAACAACAATAGTAGTAACAATAATTATAATAATAATGGTAATATTATACAATGATGATTTAAAACAACAAAACAACATAATAAAACAAAACATGCTTTTAACCGACAAAATAAACAAACTTCACTTGTACATTATGACAAAAATTAATATTGCTACTAACAGAACTACAAGCGCCGTAATTAGGAGAAAATATTGTTTTATTTTCTTTAAATCTTCCTCAAAGGTGAAGGTGTGGGTGTTTTGGATGTTTTGGTCGCCGTCGGGGAACATATTGGAGAAGAAGGGGTGAATAATTTTTGGGTGATTTTTGGATAAAGAGAGGATAAGAGATTTGTGGTGAAAATCGGGGGAAAATATACCTTTTATAGAGGTAGGTTTATCTGTTACTGTTTTGTACAATTGTAAAAATATCATATAATGGTTTAATGTACTGGCAAAATTATGATTCAAATATAAGTATTTATAATTGTAAAAGGTTATCACACTGGGAATGCAAGCCATAGTGGTTCGAGAGCCCTAATATCTATAAAAGATCATGGGTTCGAAAACTGAAAGAAACACAAAAAGTTCGTAAAAGAAAGAAAAATAATAAGTATAAAAGGCAAATTAAATTTTACATAGAAGGTGAGTATGTAATATCAACATGTATGAATCAAACATAAACCAAGATACCAACATAAATAAAACAAGGCAAGATAGTAATAAATTCATAAGTAAGGATATTTTTCACCGTTGTTTTGAGATATATAATATAATAAATGTTTGAGTTTCTGGTATAGAGGATCCCAAAATATGGGCAACTATAGAGCATACTCCTCAAAACATTTAGAAGTAGATAATATTTATTTGTTATAATTTTGAGAAGTAGGTATAAATATACCTGACTAGTAACTGGTGCTGATAACGTGTTAAGAGGTAACTATGATATTGTATATTTTATGATGATGGAGATGGAAGAGAGCAAAAGAGCAATTAGAGAATGTCGGTTTTTCTTCTTACCCTACTAGTTCACAAGATAGTGAACTTATTTATAGGCAAATATTGCCCATAAAGTATGTTACATAATTGTACTTATATACAAATTATTGTCCTAAATATAGCTCATGTGATGAGCTATAAGCTATTGTGCTCCAAACTCATGTGAACTTCATTTGACATTTTCTTAACAAACTAAACATTTTTTTTTTTGGGTGCAAATGAGGCTAAATGCCAAGAAGAAAACAAACAACAAAAGCAATATAAACTAGACTATAAGGAGGCACAAAGCGTGAAAATGCTACACCTTGAGCATCGTCATTAAGAATCCTACAAGGCTTCAAAGGAGCACTACCTAGAATACGAAGTCTAGAAGAATGAGCCACCCCTTGATTAGCAAGCCAGTCAGTAGCCCTGTTGCCCTCACGGAGAATATGCACCACTCTAACCTCCTAGTCATCTTTATTAGGAAGTATTAAGTGATCACAAACTATTGCGTTAGTCCCGCCTGACCAAATGTTTCGTCAGTCCGGGGGGTTTTTGCTTTATACCAATGATCGCTCCCATCGGCGGCGTTGTTATTGGCGGTGGTATCGTCGACAACGAGGAACTCGTTGATTGTTGATTATATTTGTCCATGATTTATACTTGAATTGGCTTGATAATTGCTTGAGATTCTCATATATTTTGAAAAATGCCCAAAAAAAAAAATCGATTTGGGGCTTTCTTGTGTGATGTATAATTGTTGAATTTGATTATCCTGTATGATTGTATGTTGAATTGTGAGCGTTTTGATAACAAATGCATGTATTTTGGTTGAGATATGAGCTGAGTACGGGACCTTTAATGGTGGTTCCGCCATTGTTGACCTTTTAATTATTTTTATAAAATAAATTCTATTGTCTAGATTGTATCATCTATAATAAGTTGGATGATATCATCTATAAGTTGGATGATATCCTCTATAATAGAATGCAATATTATGTATATTAGCCAACAAAAGGAACATATTAGCCAACAAAAGGAATATATCAGTCAACAAAAGATAGATATCAGCTAACATATTGAACATATCAGCCAACAAAAGGATGAAATCAGCAAACAAAAGCAACAGGTAAGCCAACATATTGTATATATCCTCTATCAAATAATATATATATCCTCCAACAAACTTTACGTATCCTCTATTCGGTAACACATATCCTCCAACAAATTGTGCATATCCTCTATTAAATACTACATATCCTCCATCAAATACTACATATCCTTTAATAAATTGTACGTATCCTCTATCAACTAACACATATCCTCCACCAAATACTACATCATATCCGCTAACAAACTGTACGTATCCTCTATCAAAAATAAATTGTACATATCCTCTATCAAATACTACGTATCCTATAACAAACAATATATATCCTATAACAAACTGTACGTATCCTATATCAAATAACACATATCCTCCACCAAGTTGTACATATCCTCTATCAAATAATACATATCTTATATCAAATATTGCATATCATATATACTTGACGCACGAATTGTTTGGTGCGGCTTGCCGCATCTAATACCTTCTCTTAAGTGATTTTCTTTGATAGTGTATTAAAAAGAAAAAAAAAAAATCAATGTTTGTAGAGTTTGAAGATTTGAGTATTGAAGGTTTAGGGTTAAATTAAAAGTTGAAAAAAATAATGACTTTACAATCGTGGGAAATGATTTAGACACACTTCCATGTGAGAAGAGCATAAAAACTATGCTCTCACAAATCACAATGGGTGTGGTAAAATCAATTTTAGCTGTGCCTAAATCAGTTTCCTTCAAGTATATAGGAATAGTATTTGCATATGAGAAATGATTATTTTCTAGTAATTTTATATTTTATAAAATTATTAAATTAAAAAGCATATAAAGACACATTATTGTAAGGGTCAAATTGGCCCGGGGATTATTTATTAAAAGTTAGTCCTCTGTGTTCATATAAAAGATAAGGTGAATTCCTTAAAAACAAAAGCATAAAATAGGATAAAATATTATAAAACTATTAGAGTAGCTTTTAGCGATCGAGTAGCAGAAAATTTAAAGGTAGCGAAAGGTACTATTAGTACTCCCTCCGTTTTTTAGTAGCAACACTTTCACCGACAAGAAATTTTATGCGGTTGAGTTGAATTTGTTAAAATATTGGGTAAGTGAGATATGTCGGGAAATTAAAACATGATACAGAGTTTTAAAAAAAAAAATGCTAGTGGGTGAATAATTTATGTAAAAACAAGGGATTTGAAATAAGAGAAATATGAAAGAAATGTGAGTAGGGTGGGGACGAGGATTATGTGATGAAAGAAATATAATAAAATAGTGTGGAGAATTTCCGTTTAAATAAATTGCATTAAAAAAATAAGGATGACTATAGAAAGCGTAGTAATAAAAAAAAAAATTAGAGGGAGTAGTGGGTAAAGATTAACTATCAAAGTAATGGCTCATAATATTGTGAGTGTTTGGCAAAATAATATCAAAATACAATAAAATCCATACATATTGTTTAGAAAAAAGTAACCAATAGTTGATAAACGCTACCCCACTATTTTTGAAATAAAAATACAACCTTTAGCTCATTTTTTTTTTTAATAATACAACCTTTGGATTAGACATTAATATTATAACCTTTAGGGGGTAGTGTTCATTTTTAACAGGCAAAAAAATTTGTAACCTATTGTGGTTACCCATGACATGTGTTGTCATGTAATTGATCTAAATATTTTTTAATTTTTTTTTATAAAGTTATTTAACCTTTAATTAAATTCTAATTAAGTTTTTAATAATCTTATTTTTAACAAATAAAATGTTAGAAATAAACAAATAAAATATTAAAAAAAAAAAAACCCAACCACCGGCAGCCCCCTGCCCCACCCCAGCGGCCGACTGATAGGCGTGTCACGTACCTAACAAAAATAACCTAACAAGACCACTACTATGTAGATAGGCAAGTAAGGATCGAATCCCAAGAGATTATGGTTTGACTAATTAAACAGACTCAAATTATCACTAAGCAAGTAACCAAAATAATATTGAGAATTAATAACTAAAGGACTAGTTAAAGCGATTAAATCTAAATAATATAATAAATCAAATGCTAAAAACATCCAAAATCAAGCATTATCACGAATACAATTAACGCAATAGTCGCTCTACCCCTAACATATAGTTCAATTGATTAACGAGGAAAAGTAATCCCTAAATAATACCAACAGTCTCTCCCGGGGAGTTATAAATGGCTTCTCTAATCACAATCAAGCCTACTTCCGTGGAATCATGTAAATTAAGAGCACGTTACTCTAACTTCCTAATCATCCATTCAACTACTCCCGTGATGAACTTCAAACCCTTAATTGATTTATTCAAACCCGTTAAAACCCAACTCCCGTTGCGATTAAAACAATGGATTAATAACAATACTAATTATCCCTAATCTAATATTGGCATGAGCATAATCAATTAAGCATATAAATTGCAATTATCATTAGAGAATTTAAAGAATTAAATCATGCATCTATCATATTCGGGTTCCGCTAGATCTTGGAATAAGGGAACTACTCACACATAGTAATGAAAACAATAACAAGAATTGAGAAAAACATAATTAACAATCAAAGGAATTAAAGAGAATAAGAAAATATCGAATCTTGAATTACTAGAGATAAATGAAGAATCTTGAGTGCATAATCTTGAATTACAATGAAAATAAAGTCTAGAGAGAAAACTAGGGTTCTAAGATAATAGATCATGAAATTATAATGCTAAAGAGTATTTATAATAAGGCTAAAAGATAGGATTAATTAAGGAAATAAATCGGACTAAACCGACCTAAAATCGACTAGGGATGGGCGTGTCACACAGGACATGCCCGTGCCCAAAGTCAGAATCGATCTTTCTTCAACTTCCAGCAAGACATGGGCATGTCAAATTCTGACATGGGCGTGTTTCTCTGAGCTAACTTCACTCGACGAGGCATGGGCATGCCCGCATTCAACACGACCATGCTTCCCTCAGCACGTAGCTGCTAGCTCGAAGCACTCGACTCGACATGGGCGTGCCTCAAATAGACATGGGCATGCCTAAAATAAAACTTCAAATTCAACTTTCTGCCTCTTCAAAACACAATGACACGCCTATGTCTCTGAGTGACATGGGCATGTATATTTGGAGATTAGCTTTAAATGACTTCAACATCAAACATTGGCCTTTAAAGTGAATTGCAAGCTATGATCAAGATCCGTAACTTCGTAAAACCTTCACATAGCCTCAATCCTGAAATACATAAAAAACAACGAATCTACCCATAAAAGCACCATATGATCACAACCAAACCAAATTAAGCCAAAATGAGCTATGAACAACAAATCTAGACTCGAAAACTACCTAAAAAGACACTAAAAACATGCACAAAACACGACTTATCACTGGCCGTCGGCGATTAGCCTCCCCCAGCGCCGGTTGACCCCAAAAATTACACCCATCCTCACCACAAAAATCGAATCCCCCACCATAAACTCGTTTAACCCAGAAAACCCGTTTTCTAGGGTTTCAGGTTTTCTAGATTAAATAGATTTTTGGTGGTTTTGGCTGGGGGAATAGGGTTTATGGGGGCCGGAAAACAAGAGTGGGGGTTGTTTCGGGGAGGGGGGTCGGTTTTTGGGGTGGTTTGGGGCAGGGATGGGTGTCGTGTTGGGGATTTGGGCTGAGTTGGCGGCCGTTTAGGGAGGGGCGGTGGCTGAAACATGCAAGGGTTGCACGGTTCAATTGCTGCCCAAGATGGCTGATGTGGCTCGGCAATTCGCTAAGTTGCGCAGTTGGCCGTGGCTGCGGCTGGGCTTCGGCTTGGTTGCGGTGTCTCTGGTACGTAGGGTGCTCAGTCACGGAGATAACAAGTCCGGTGTTTAGGGGAGGGGCGATAGCCGATAGTCCGATCCAAATGTTGTTGTCGGGGATGCTGGGAAAGGGGTTGGTCGGCGCTGGGAGACTTGATCGCCGGTGGCCGGCCGCCGAGATGGGGGAAAGGGGGCTGCTGGTTACCAATCGATGGGGGAGGTGGTTGGGTGGATTTTTTTTAAGGTAATAATAATAATAATAAAAGTAATTTTTATTATTTTAGATATTTTAAAAATTAAAATATTAAATAAATTTTAAAAAATAAAATAAATTTGACAAAACCAATAAAATAACGACACGTGTCATGGTAACCTGAAAAACAGGTTACCTACCGGTTTTTGCCTGTTAATAATGAACACCCCCAAAATGGCGTAATATTAATGTATAATATAAAGGAAGTATTATTTAAAAAGAACGGGCCAAAGGTTATATTATTATTTACAATTTTTTCATATTTTTAATGTTGAAAATAGATGCTCAAATGGTACCTGTACCACATCCATTGCTTGCCATTTTGCCGAACACTTATTTAATCTAGTTTGTCAAATGCTAACCACCACACCAGACACTACTTTAAGCAAGGTCATAAAGTACTTATATGTGCTAAGCTTTAGGTATCAAAAACTAATCTGACCCGAAACCGTCCTAAACTAAAATCAATTCAAATTTCGACTTGTATCGATAGTTGGATACACAATTTAGGCCTTGTTTGGTAAAGAGGTTTTTGGAAATTTTTTAGCTCATCGAGCACTATTAGAGATTTGATTATTTTAAACAAGCTAATTTGGATGTTTGGCAAATAGCTAATTAAAAGAGCTTTTTGGACTAAAAAAACTCTTTTAGAGCTTAAAGAGCTTTTTGAAATTAGCTTATTGAATAATTAGCTTTTTGAGTATTGAATACACCGAAACAACTAATAATAAACAACTATTTACCAAACACTTTTACATAATCAACTATTTACAACCAGCTAGTCAAATAAATTAGTATAATCAGCTATATTACCAGTTAATACAATCAGCTATATTAATCAGCTAACAACTAATTACCAAACAGACCTTAGTAGAACTCAAATTTAAAATTGACCCCATCCGATTTTACTACTATAAACCCGATCCTAAATTCCTAATTGACACTTCTCCAAGCCTAGTCAAAGTACAGTAGTTCACAAAAGTAAATAAATTAAAGGCTCCTTATCTACATCCATTATCAGACCATCTCAAAGAGAGAAGAAGCAGAGCAGAGCCCAAAAACAATGGCGACATTTTCTCTCACTTCAACACTCCCTTCTTCTTCACCCACTCCCCTCCACTCCATCTCCAAACTCAAACCCTTATCCTCTAACATCAATTTCACCCACGCTTTCAACCCGAACCCGAAACCCACTCGCCAGCACCAGCAGCCCAATTACGGCCCATGTGTTAAGGCCCTATCTCTGGACTTCTCCGGTTCATTCTTCGAGGGTGGTTTCGGTGGTTTGGACGAAGACCCGCCGTCAACGCCGCCGTCTGGGTTAGCGGTTGAAGATAAGCCGGAGCCCCAATGTCCGCCGGGGCTCCGAAAGTATGAAACCATGGCAGTTCTTAGACCTGATATGACTGAAGATGAGCGTCTTACTCTTACCCAGAAATATGAAGAGGTACAATTTTATTTATATTTTTATTTGAATTTTGTTTGGAGCATTTTGGGGATAGATAATTTGGTGAAGTTTTGTGGATTGTTTTTAGGGTAGAGGTTTAGTGAGGTTAATTGTTGATTAGTAGAAATAGTTAGATGATGAAAGTGGGGATTAACGTTGCCCCTATAGCTCAGTGGTAGAGCGTCAGTCTTGTAAACTGAAGGTCTGTAGTTCGATCCTGCATGGGGGCATTATTATTATTGTTTTTAATTTTTAGTGATAATGGTGAATGATTATTATTAATATTTTTTATTTTTAGGGATAATTGGTGATAATGGTGAATGAATTGATGTGTGTGAGTAGTAGTTTATTTGCTTTCCTTTGCTTCATTTCATGTCTATTATGTTGTAAATAATACACAATGACTACGACTGCTTACACTTAAATTCATTCTCACTAGAATGTATTATTCCTTGCAATAGTTGGATTTCTAAAAATAAGTTATTGGATAATGTAATGAAATAATATTAAGTATAATGGGCAGTTATTAGTTTAATTTTTTTTGAAAATGAAAAAAATTAAAATTAGATGGGCTCAGAATTGCAAGGAAGGAGCTTTAAAGTGCAGTGAATGAAAGTTGAAAAAACTCTAAATTTAATATATAGATTACGGCCATAACCATAACTTACATAATTTCATTCCCATTACGGCAACCTTTGGGATGAGTTATGTTGGGGGTGGGGGGAATGAAGCTATGAAAAGGAAATGGATAATTGGGAAAAGTGGTGAAACCTAAGGCTCCGCTTGGTTTGATGCAAAATGTTTTCATGAAAAATGACAACATTGATTCCCATTACAGCAACTTTTGGGATGAGATATGTTTGGGGCGGAGGGAACGAAGCTATGAAGAGGAAGCGGGTAATTGGGAAAAATGGTGAAGCCTAAAGCTGGTTTGATGTAAAATGTTTTCATGGAAAATAATTTTCCTTTTTTTTTATTTTTTATTATTTTTTATTTTTTTTCCATTGTTTGGTTTGTGAAAAGGTGGAAAACAATCTTCCTGATAGTGAAAAATTGCATCCTTGTGGACGTTGTGATGGAAAACATTTTCCCTTACAAGACAAGGGAAGCCACATTTTTCTCCTTTCTTCTTACGTCCTTTTTACTTTCCTCTCATCCATCCTCATATTTTCACTCTTATTTTTAATTTTTCTATAACTTTTCTTGTATGGAACCAAACAAAGAAAAACTTATTTTTAACTTCTCTAAAATAAATTTTCCATGAAAACTATTTTTTCATTGAAAATGTTTTACATCAAACCAAACGGGGCCTAAGTGAAAGGTTTAGGAAAGTAACTTTTGTATGGTATCAAATTATGGATATATTGGACATAGTCACATAGATTGGAGGCTTGTCGTTGCCTCCGTTTGATATCTTGGCTTCCCTTGCATTGTATTTGGGTCACCAGGAGTGGAGCAAAGGGCACACGCCACCATCCGCCCCTCCCTCCCCCGTCCTCTATAACCGGATTGAACCATCCAGAGAATCAGACATAAATCTGGCTGAATGAAAACAACAGATAAAATTTAGCATACTGCATAAGAGATTTAGAGTCAGATCAAAGATTTTTCAAATGCATATGACAATTTAGATTTTAGACTTAAATCTTGTTGAGAAGAACTAAATTAAAATAGCAAAATTGTCAGAAACTCATAAAGTACCTTACGTTGGGTTGAATTTGTGAGCTGATACCTTGTTAGATCTTTTGTCATTGATTTCACGAAAGTAACAAAAACGACTCGATAACATTTTCCAACTTTCCGAAAATTGTCTAAGATTCTTTTGTCAAAAGACTGTTGTTAACTTGCACATACATCTCACTCTCTTTTGTAAGATATTTTTCAAAATTTTCTCTCATTCTTTCCAACCGACTATACCTTTTTTTTTTTTTTTTTTTGGGTAACTCCATTCATCCTTTGATTCTTTAGGATCTTTTGCATCCTAAGCCTGCTATCTTCACACAGAGCTACTTTGTTGGCTCATCCAATTCTCTTTAATTATTACGAAGTATCTTTTTAACTGTGAAACAGTTGTGAGATCTCCTTATTTATGGGTCAAATTCAAATCTATGGCTGCGGAGGCAATTTGCATTGATTAATGTATTTTCTTTGTTATCTTAATGTCTTAAGGAAATAAGGAACACCTTGAAGCTTTTGGAGTTTGAGATGGTTCAGTTAAGTAGTAATTCAAACTTTCAAAGTTGGGATAAAGTTATGATCAATGGATAAACTCTGATTAATCAAGGTTGATTTTGGCGTACTATTTGCCTTCTCATATTAGCTTTTCCAATTCAATGCTTGTGTTACCCTTTAGTTTTGAGTTGATCGTATGCTACATAAATATATTGCATAGACTTGATTGGTCCAGTCACATAGAGTCCACATTTGCGTTAAGGAAAGACATTGGAAGACCTATGGTTTTTAACAGGTACAACAGGGAGCTCAAAGGGGACTATGGTTTCCCTTGTCCTCGTAACCGTATCCACTGACTGGGATGGGTATGAATAATAACTAATCAGTGCAAAGATTAGCATACCTATGGTTTTTGACAGGTACATTAGGAAGCTTAAAGGGGACTTTGGCTTCCCTTGACTCTGTAAATTCGTCCACTGATTGGGACTTGGGAGGAGGTGGGGTAGGCAGGAGGAGGGAATTTGAATGCGTCTTCCTTTTTCTTATGAATTTTACTGGAGGAGAGCTAAGAGAGCATTGTTCATTAGTAGTTAGTACCACTCTGAAATTCACCCTCTGAAGACTTTTTATGGTATACATTATCACGACGTTTATGTATTTACTGCAAGGCAATATGCTAATGCTCCAATGCTTTGGGATTGTATCTATTGTCCAACTTTGCAGCTAGTTAACTGTATTGACATGTCAATGTGGCTTTCTCCTTGGGATTTTTAGTGGAGGAAAGGCCGTAGCGCATTTAGGCATTTCTATATCTTGGCCAACATGCCTTTTTAAGGTACTCGAGAAGGGGAGGGAGTAATGTTTAAGTATTGACTTCGTTGTTGTGTGGGCATTTGACTCTAGCTTCTTGGATATACTCTAAGTTAGGCTAGTTGCATTTCATGGAAAGCTAGATATTAGAGTAAATTAGATACTTTATTGGATTAGAGATATTAAGGTATATTAGATGTAGGAAAATATCTTATGCTGTATGTAATATACTCTAATACTAGATATTTTTTAAGCTTGGAATTGCACTGGTGCTGCTGTGGTGGGAAACACTGGCTATGCCATCTAAAATTTGGAACCTTACTCAGAAATATACTCTGTAATAGTAAACATAACAATAGTTTATATATTTCCTGTCAAAAAAGACCAAAAAAACAACTATTAAATATTGAGTGGGAGAACCACTGAACCACATTACATAAATGGAAAGCCTAAGAATGAAAAAGTCATTTTCCTAGATAAGATTTTTGAATTTTGTAACACCTCACTGTTGATGTGAGTTCTCCTGTTGATGCTATATTTATTTACTGGAAGGACTTGGATCTGATCAAAACATTGAATTAGGAATGTAAAGATAATATGAAATGACTTTCTGGTGGAATTTCATTGTGGATGAACTAATCTTAGTTTTATATACGTTGGACATGGACTATTTGCATACAGTTTCTATTGTTCTTACAATGGCTTGTGTTCCTAATCCATTTTTCCATCACATTAATTTCTTAAAAGGTTTGATTTATAAATGAATCTGTATCTCTTTGTTGCTGATGTTTCACATCTAGTCCTACTTGATTTAAAGATTATCATCAAGCGTTCACCAACATGTTCACCAATCACCATCCTGAGTCAATCTTTCTTCCTCCATTCAGATCAACTCCTCATAGTTAAGGATATGACATGGATTACATGATTTTACAAAAACCCTTTTGTTTGAGCTGCCTTTTTGTACTCTCAGCCACTGCTTAGTTGGGGGATCTAATTACAGACCATTATAATGAAATGTGACAATGATTTCTAGACATCCTAAAATAGATATGTGGTCTTTAATGTGAGAACGAGCGAGTATTATGTAGGTTTGAAGGGTGAGAGTAGTTATTCAGCTCTTAGATCACTCTCACATTAAACTTAAAGCCTTATAGGAGGTATCAACATGTTGTGTTATTGACCATGGTCGCTTGTTTAACTTTTGCAGTTGCTTGTTGCCGGGGGAGCCATGTATGTAGAAGTATTCAACAGAGGGGTGATTCCACTAGCCTACAGCATCAAAAAGAAGAACAAAGCAGGAGAAACCAACACTTACTTGGATGGCATCTACCTCCTCTTCACCTATTTCACTAAGCCTGAATCCATTTCTGCTCTCGAGGCAACACTCCAAACTGATGACGATGTCATAAGGTCAACAAGCTTCAAGATTCGTAAGAGGAAATACTGAAAAGTCTATTTTGAACAGTAGTCTCTACTCTCTAGGTTCTTATCGATGTCAATGAGGAGAATATTTAGATTTCATCTGGATGTTGTGTACCCTACTGGCCTATTTCCTCTTACACTACACTGTTGCCAACTTGCCTTAGTTGGTCATTACTTTAATTTCTGTAGCATATCATTTTTTGGAAATTTTAAGGCACGTAAGTTCAATTTGAACCAATTTGTAAGTCATGTTTGAACAACAGTATTCCTCTTTCCCATTACTGATACACCCTTGAAATGACACAACTTCGCCTCGAATCGAAATTTCTTTTTCCTGTTGGTATGTTCCATGTGCAGGAATGACTAGTGTGTAAGGTACTCATGCTGATTATGACAGCCATTATCTGATTATGGCTAATTGGCTTTAGCTGTGTTTGTTACCTCGATTGGACTGAGGTTGAATTGCACAAGTTATGATTACTTATACTGAAGATTTCTTGTCTTCAAAAAAAAAAAAAAAATAATGAAGATTTCTCTGATTTGGGATTGAAAGTTCTTCAGATAGGTGAATGTCAGGTTTGGCTAATCAGCAGACTTGAATTAACCAATCTTGTCAATATCCACTAGAGCTAGTCCCTGTGGAAAAGTTATTCTTGATGATGAACTGATCTTCCCAGCCGAAAAACGGACAGTTGTACCACTGTTGGCTTGCTGTCTTGCTCATTCGACATAGAATAGATCCACTATGGCCGTATTTCTAACTTTCTTCGGTGCCATCTTTTTCTTACCAAGGGACGATGTTAAAGATTTTATGAAGTACTTCGTATATCTTTTTTTTTTTTTTTTTTTTTTTTTTTAAGAAAAAAAAAATCCCCGAGAAGAACTCCTAGATCAATCAATTAAGTAGAAACTGTTGGAACCTTGCATCAAAAAGAAAATGTCTAGAGGAGGCCTTCATTCCTCATTATAATTTTCAACTCTTGTAAAGCTCACTCGAGATTTTCTTCTTATAATTACCCTCATGTACGAGTCTCTAACCAACACTTCGAGTTTGAAAACACTATATTTTCATGGTGTATGATTATTTTTGATGAAATAGTCAAAAATTTCAAGTCATACAATATAATATAGAAAATATCATGTATTTCCTCTGTTCCTATTTTTTTTTTTTGCTCCATTGCCAAAATTTGAGTCAAACTTTGAAAACTTTGACCATAAATTCTCGTTATACTACAATAGGTAATATAGTCGTGTGGAATCTTGTTTGGTTCGTCTCATTGTATATTTAATTAATATTAACTTTTTATAATTTTCTCGCGTGTAAAAATGGAGATATAAACGATTTAACACGTGTCTTGGAGACTATGAAAAGTCAAATGGGGCAAAAATAAAGGAACAGAGGGAGTATATATTAAGAAAAGGTATTCCTTAATCTGTATCAGACAGCACTAATCATGTATATTGATGCTGTTTAGTGAGTTGCAAGATATTTTGTTCACTTGGCACTTCAAAGAGCCGCATAAAAGCATTAAAGCCATAACCCGTAATAATTAACAAGTACTCGTACTAAACATATATATTTGATTGGAAACATGCGATTCTATTAATTTATGTACGTTTTTCCGCAGCTCAATCATAGTCTCTTTGGTTGCTAATAGGAACAAGCTAACCCTCCACTTTATCCCCAATTTTAATAAAAAAAGTTGTACGTGTAAGATTCATAAATTTTTTGGGCATATTAGAGAATCAGATTTGATGATGTAGTTCCATAATCTTATTGTTCTAGACATGACTTCTTTCTCATTTATCTAATTTTAGACTAGAGGTTGTTTACTTTTGGATCCACTAACTCCGGTGGATGCCAATTATATGCACTTACACCGTACACTAATTAAGGTTATTGGTTATTAAGTATGGATGTCAAATAGCGCAATTAGCCGGTAAAGTCATGTAAGGTGATACATATTCGCCACTATCTAGCTATATTCACTTGTATAATTTGATGATATGCAATTGAATCCTTTTTAAATGACTGAATCAGTTATAGTTTGTATTCGCCACTATCTAGCTAATGCGTAATACTACTTTATAAGTGCAATTTTACTTACGGAACTAGATAAACCTTTGAGCGAAATAATGCATACAATATTATAGTTGTCTTTTTTTTTTTTTTTTTTTTTTTTTTTTTTTTTTTTTAAGAAACTCATGCGATAGCTACTGGTTTATGGCTTTATGAGATCATTAAAGATCTTAATAAGGTGAATTAGGAGTATATATAAGATTACAATTTTGTCTTAAGGTGATAATGGCTGCCATGTCAGAATTCTTATGATGCTAAGAGCTGATGATGTGAAAGTATGCAGGGTGTTAATTGGTGAAGCTTTATTTTTTAAGAGTTGATAATCTTAACTACTCCAACTAACTTTTTAAGTCCGTCTTCGCAAATTCCTACGTGAAGGACTTTATGACAACACTTTCGTATAAACAATTAAACCTTTACTGTTTAGTTCAACAATGTCTCAAATTCAATTTTGTGTAAACAAATGTATGTAGGACAAATTAGTCAAATTTAAAAGTTTTAAATCTTTGTAAGTTGATTTACCTCTTGAATTAAGTATATATTACATCCAAGTCATTTCATTAGATGTTGTTATTTGATTCGTAACAACTTACTTCCATTAATTTACATGCAAAAGAAAAGTTTTCTATGCTTTGTACTAACAGAGTAAAACAGGGTTGTGGTGCTTAGCTATAGTTAATTTGGTTTTTTTTTTTTTTTTTTTTTTTTTTTCCTTCACTTTATCATAATCAGTGCAATTTTTTTTTTTTTTTGTGTGGCTGGCTGACACATGAGTAATCCCTAATTAGGTAATCCCTAATCGATCAAGTAACTTCTGACCGATCGAGAAATCCCTGACCGAGCAATCTATGACCAACCGAGTAACTCCTGACCAAGTAACCCCACCCGCACGGTGTGTTCACCCACATATGAAACTTTGTATATTATAATAATAAATTATAACTCTGAAGAAATATTGAACGAAATTTATTTGGGGCCGTAGGGGTTAAGTGATCAAATACATGATTATGTGCAAAATATTTTATTTGTGGCTGGCCACACCGTATGGCCGGGATTACTTGAGTTACTCGGTCAGGGGTTACTTAAGTTGCTCGATCAAGGGATTACTCGAGTTACTCGATCAGGGGTTATTTAAGAGGTTCGGTGGGGTTACTCGAGTTATTCGGTCAGGGGTTACTTAAGGGGTTCGATCAGGGGTTACTCGATCAGGAGTTACTTGAGGGTTCGGTCAGGGGTTACTCGGTTAGGAATTACTTGAAGGGTTCGATTAGAGATTATTTGAGGGGTTACTCGATTAGGGGTTACTTGAGGGTTCGGTCAAGGGTTACTTGAAGGGTTACTTGGTCAATTCAGGGTTACTTGAGGGGTTACTCGGTCAGGGATTACTTGAGCGGTTCGATCAGGGATTACTCGAGGGGTTACTTGAGGGGTTATTCGGTCAGGAGTAACTCGAGTAACCTCTGACCGAGTAACTCGAGTAACCCCAGCAATTCGAGTAACCCCTGACCGAGTAACTTAAGTAACCTCGACAACTCGAGTGACCCCGGCCACAAGATGTGGCCAACCACACAGAGAAATCCCGATTGATAATTTCTTAAATTTAAAAGACATAATTTTTTAGTAATTATATAATTGTCAAATAATTTAGCTGGTAAAAATAATGTAATCCGTAATATTTGAAGGTTATTGTGCCTAAATCTTATATAGCGCAATTTGGAAAAGTATGTAACTAAATGCACCATATATACTAGAGTACAGTGTGATAGGAAGAATATGATCTACTCCATTATTGTCTTATCGATATGATAAAATTGATAATGCAGCAGATGAAAACCAAGAAACTTCTGATTGTTCCTTTTAATTAAGAAAAATCGATCGTTCACAAAATCCAAACTTTATCTCAAATTAATAATTAATTAGTAATTAATATATATCTATTTATATCAAATTATCAATTCTCATTAATTAAGACTTACTCCATGATAAAAGACAAAGTAGCAAATTTTTGGTGGTTAGGTTTTAACTGAACCACCACCAACCACTAATCATAATCATGGTTTTCAAATGTGTTTGGGTCCAATTTAGTCCAATTGGGCCTAGGCATTAAATGATCCAATTAAAAGCCCAAGGTCAAGGTTCAACTCTCCAATTGTGCTAAAGTCAAAGGTCAGCCCACAAAGCAAGCCAATTGGGCTAAGGCCCAACCTCTCCATGTATGAAGAGGTATAAAAGCCATCAATATTCATACATTCAGATTCATTCACAAATTTACATATTCTCATAGATTCATATATTCTCATATACTCCATCAAAGCCTCAAGCAACTAATTCTCTTGCATAGTGTTCTCTTTCTACACATTGTACTGACTTTAGCATCGGAGGGGCCTTCCTCGGCAACACCCCCGAGGCTAGTTTACGTGTGTTTACAGTGCAGGAAACCTTCGGCCCAGCATAACTCGGACCGAATCCAGTTTTCTCCGTTTCAGCGGACCTTCGGCAAGGTCCCATTGTTTTCACCCGAAACAAAATGTACGTAGTCTTCAAAGAGACAATATGTTTACTTACCTAGCTATTTTATTTTAAGGTGGTGTGGTGGTGATTTGTCACTTGAATTGAAGATCTGTTAAACCAAACTTCTTGTCTAGCTATATGCTAGGTCTTCAATAACAATTACTCCTAACATTGGTTAATTTATTTATCTCCCGACAATTTGACCTTATTATTAAGAGTTATAACTAACCTTGTCAAAAAAAGTGAAACAAACAAAATTGGTAGATCAAATATGAGATTTAATTTGTAGAAGGAAAAGTCAATTGCTACGAAGTAACATGCATTGTTTCGAAAAAAAAAAAAAAATTATTAACGCAAATGGCATCTTTTATACTTTGTATAATTCATCCGTCGGATCAAATTATAATATTGTCTCATACTTTGTATAAGACTTTTTTGGTTGCTTTATACTTCGCACATATAGTAAGTTCTATGAAATAATATAACGAAAAATAATTATATAATTAATATGAGTAGGGATTTTTCGTAATAAATAGAATAGTTATGTTAGTTGTAAGAAAGATAAACAAACTAAAATCAATGCATGATCTGTGCACCCGGGTGCACCTGGTTAAATAAAAAAAGACGGAAAGAACATTTAGCTGTTTGAAAAAGAACATGCAGGTTTTTGAAAAAGAACATGTTTGTGTTTAACAAAGAACATGCATTATTAAAGAACATAAAGACATTACAAAAAGAACGT